GACCTACATTAATGTCTACTCTTAAAATTTGGAAAAATATTTTTATAAGAATAAAAATATTATATCTTACAATTCAAACTTGCGATATTAATACGAACATACCATTCCTAGAATAAATGAGCTCACTGATATAAGCTTATCATACAAAAGATACGAGTGTTCGTCCTTAACAAGAAACATAGGATTATGAGAAATAACCATGAGAAGACTGCTTTGCACACCACATAGACCTTGACTTAAACTTCAAATGAATGTGCTTGTCAACAAAAAATGAAAGGAAAAACTTGGAAAAAAGTGTATATAATATATATATATATATGTAAAAATTAATGCAATGAGAGAGCAAAGTACTTTTGATGACGTTCATGTGAACCCGAACAATAGTTACAACTCCAGTTGACATACGGCTGCTCCTAAAGGAAATAAGATTTAACTTTTCCAAGTTGAACTCTGACTGCTGATTGGCCCAAAGAATTGGCATATGGTAGATAGACTGCAACTCTATTAAAAAGCTAAAAAAATTGTTTCTGCATTACAAGTTAATGATGGTCACTTCTTGAAATTTTTATAATATCTATATATGCACACAATATTGGACGTTTATATTTATGTATATATGTATATATATATATTTTTTATTTCTCTCTCTCTCTCTTTCTTTAGTTGTCAGCAAAATATTATTATGTCTCAAGTCCTGATATACTTTTCAGCCTTTTCATATACAAATACAATTATTAGCTGCAATATTTTTCATTTTTCTGGCAGTGTGATGGTAGTTGTCTGTACTTAGATTGATCTTTTTGTATATCATCTAGGGCTGGTGATAAATACCGTAGGCACCAGTCACTCGCCGGTAATCAGTTGTTGGTCGGGTCACGGTTAGCCGGTTGCGAGCCGCCCGCCATAATCGCACTGGGTCGTTTGCCACCTGCAGACCAAGCCACATAAACTGGGTTAATGGCATTCCGACCTATCGGAGGTTTTTGCATTGGCCCTAGTGACTCTGTGCTTTGATCACGCCCAAACAGCTTTGACATCGGATCAGAAATTACTCTACGCGTGACCCAGCAGGCAAGTGTGTGTCTGTGCGAGACTTATTGACTCTGACGTTATTGACTCGACTTCCAGTGCTTGTGTTGTGACGAAACATGACGGACTTGAACTTGACGTTGACTTCTCACAATAATTCAGACTCAGAAGTCAATTGTTAGGCTTCACACGTTTCAGTTCACAGATCCCAGGTAAGCGTACATATCGGTCAATTATATGCAATTGACTAACAACCAGAATTCTGCTGCAATGAATCAACGAGGAAGACTCAGCTGGCCAAAAATGCATTTCAAAGTTATACGCACTCTATAAAAATATTACAATTATTATTTGCGTGTAATATACACAAATTTGTTCATTCATGAGAATCACAACTTCTTTTCATCAATTACAAAACTAGAATAGAATTAACTAGGTAGGAGAGCAGAAATAAGGAGTTTACACAAAATTACAAAATTTTAAACAGATAAACGTATACCTCGCAACAACAGCACATATAAAGTTACAACTAATACTTATTCTTATATACGTATATAGATAATACCTTATCTTAATTTTGCAAAATGAAACAACATGCAACATTTATCTTCATTTTTCTCCTCTACATATTAAGTTTTCTTAATGAAAAGTAGAATGCCAGCCGGTAGTTATTTCCTTCTGTTACGTTATGCATAGGAATATCACGTCCTTTTACACGCACACCTATTATTTCAATTCAGGGTGAGAGGAGGCACACCTCCAAATTCTTATTATAGTTTAAACGTAATATCATCACAATAGAAGAACAAATATTTCGACATACAATATTTGATGCTATTCTACACCATAACATTGTGAACAAATCTATTTTCTTTAAATTTGAAGGTTACATCATCTTTCCCTATGTTATTTTAACCCGCTATGCCACATGTGGGGTAGAATTCTAGTTCGCTGATTTTTAATCGATTATAGCACTTCGGAAGGAATAAAGTATAACTTACAATATTTTCACCAAAATTGTATAAACAAATCAATTTACGATTCTACTGTAAATAGAATGGTACATGAAAGCAATGTTCGTTTTAAAATTTGTAAATCATCTCGTGTGTAAAAA